GTTCACGGCACGCGGCATGAAAGCAAAAGCACCCGTGGCATGAGCGAAAGAAATTAATAACTATTTTCCATTATCTACCACCTTTTGTCATTAGGACGTTATTGATGGCAGAAATAGCTGTATCAAATTTCAGGACATTAGCGTAGCAGTTCCAGAGAAAGCGATATGAGAATTTCAGTTTGTGTGGGCGTGCCACGCCCGCTTTGCCAAAATCTACCACTTTTCGCCGTAATTACGGTATTGATAACATATTTTGCCGTATGCAATTCTAGGACGTTAGCGCAAGCAGTTCCAGAGATAGCCGATATGAGAATTTCAGTTTGTATTGGAGGTGCCACACCCCCTTTTCCAATACCTACAATTTTTAGCCGTATGTAAGGTGTTTACAATTTGAGCACCGTTGCCAAGTTTCCGTTTCTCAGCGCAATTGGTTTTAGAGATATATCGGTTTTCACATTTTAATCTGCATTTCGGATGCCACGCCACTATGAACATTTTGGTGTATTTTTCATTGAAGTCGAGCGAACGGTACCGTTATAAAAAGGGAGTTCAAAATTTTATTGTGGCGTATTTATATATAGATTATTATCAATAATACAGCTTTTTTCCATTAGTTTTAAGTTTCAGTGATTTTAAATTTTGTTCCGACAGCATAAACTCGCAGAGTATCTGTAGGAATCTTCATTACGAACGGATTCAATGAAGGCTCTCTACGAATACCGAATTCTCGTTCGTAGCCATTCGGATTCGAAGATACGATGGATTCTGTTATAGCCCTGATTATAAGGCATTACGTCGTTTTGGTGTGTGAACTAATTTAAACGAACATAGTTAACGTTGTAATGTGAACATAGTTTTAGACCTTTCAACAAGTTAACTGATGTGAAAAAATCTTAAATTGTTAAATAGTATTTTAACAAAATCAACTGCATAATATTATAAGAAGTCAAGGTAAATCAGCCCCAACACCATCAATTCCACATGCTTTTCGTTCTGTTTCGGTGATTAGAGAGTAAAAATAAGTTGATTTCAAAAACCTGTAACAGGTCTATTCTGCACGTTACCGAAGATTTTGTAACCGGAAAATTTTATTACCAAAAAATGTTATCAGTTCTTGTCACCGCGATTCTAGGAACGTTGGTAATGCAGTTGCAATATTCAGCAATTCAGCTATGAAGAATTGTGCCAATTCTGGCACTGCATATTTCACGGGGCAATACTTTGTTACCAGCTTATGAGATGGTAACAAAATTTACTGGTTACAAGAGTACACAGAATGCGAAAAGGGTTTAAAAATTGACAGGAACTTTATTCACCGGTTACAAACTTTTTATTACCAGCGCAGAATAGACCTTGTAACAGGTCTATTCTGCACGTTACCGAAGATTTTGTAACCGGAAAATTTTATTACCAAAAAATGTTACCAGTTCTTGTCACCGCGATTCTAATTACGTTGGTAATGCAGTTAAAATATTCAGCAATTCAGCTATAAAGAATTGTGGAGATTCTGTCATTGCATATTTCACGGGGCAATACTTTGTAACCAGCTTATGAGTTGGTAACAAAATTTACCGCTTATAAGGGCCGGTTGCTCAAAGCCTGGTTGACACTAATCACCGGTTAACATCGTTATCGACGTTTTCGACTCCATGCATACAACAGGGAGTCGGTAACGTCGATAACTATGTTTAACCGGAGATTAGTGTTAACCAGACATTGAGTAACCGGCCCTAAGAGTACACAGAATGCGAAAAGGGTTTAAAAATTGACAGGAACTTTATTTACCGGTTACAAACTTTTTATTACCAGCGCGGAATAGACCTGTAAGTGTCGATAACAAAAACCACTTGAATAAGCTATATCTCAAATTCCTGGCGCGAAATATGGTTTCTCCCGTCCCCATAATTCTGGACATTGTTCCAATTTTGAGAGAACATTTTTTGATTATTCCCTAATTACCGGATCCTGTCCGTGTTGTACGGGAAAGAACTTTTTATAAGGTTCTTTCCCGTAAGCAACGCGGGTTCCCGTATCGGAACGTAAGTGCCTTCTTCTTCCTGCCCGAAACAGACTTTTTCTCCGGGTAAAAATTGATAGTGTCAACGGGCATATAATCTGTTCTGTGTTTACATATATTCTCATTCTTTATATACTTTTTTATTAATACAACCAAATTTGTGAAACCTAAATTCAATTCAAGTGTTTGCATTTAAGTGTCGATAACAAAAACCACTTGAATCAGTTATTTCTCAAATTCTGGGCACGAAATGTGGTTTTTTTCGTTCCTGTACCTCTGGACATTGTTCCATTTTTTGAGAGTAAATTTTTCGCTTCTTCTCCAATTACCGGATCCGGTCCGGGTTGTTCGGGAAAGAACCTATTTTCGGAGAATCTAAATGAAAAACAATGATGTTATGTGTGTTTATCTCATACGGCTAATAAAATTAGCAAATACCTATGTACATTTTTTGAAACTTTAGTGGTGTTTTCCATTTTTGTATTATAGAATTTGCTTTCGGATGTAAACAAACAACAGCCGGAAAAAAGTCCGGGTAGTTTCGGGCACGAAGAAGAGGATATTTACGATCCAAACGTGGAACGTATTCGCTCTCTATTCCCCATTTTCTTGCGTGAGGAACGCTCTGGGCTAATTTGGGCACCCGCGGGCCCGTGTAGAACAAACCTAATGTAGGGCCTGGCGTGTCAGCTGTTTTTAACACTGTGTTGCCGCTTACATTCCACTATACACGAGCTATGCAAAGCAGCGTTAAAAAGTACCGTGTGCGCCAGGCGTAAGGGCCGTTTGTCTGGTTATCACTACTTGCCGATTAAACATCATTGTCTGATTAGCACTAATCGGAGGTAGAAGCTCTGGTTAAATACAACGACTGCTTTATCGATCACATGTTATATGCATGATGTCGAAAACGTCGATAATGATGTTTAACCGGCAAGTAGTGATAACCAGACATTGAACAACCGGCCCTAAGGCCCGTTTTCACCATCTCTGGTTAACACAAATCCCCAGTTAAACATCGTTACCTGTTTACCACTGGTTATCACTACCTCCTCTACATGCATATAACATGTGATCGATAAAGCAGTATTTGCTCGCCTGCATCGTACATACCAAGGCAACAATTATGAGAACTGTGTAGACATGCAAAGTTGATGAAGGATTATTCTCCACGTCTCGCAATGCTTTCAGAATGGGCTCGTGCTGCGGGTAAAGTTCAAGTGCGTGCCGCAGGTGTAGAATAGATTCCTGGAAATGTCCATAAGCTTTAAATATTTCTCCAAGTGTAAAATACTGTTGCCAAGCAGAGCGTCCAGGTGGTTGCATCTCCAATGACCTTTGAGGAATTTGTATTTTTTATTATTATTATACACTGTATATGTCGATAAAATTATAGCCACGCCACGTTTGGACAAGTCTTAACATACTTTTTTTTTTGTTATTTCGTTTTGGTAATTTTTTTATAAACATATCAAGGCATATTTAATGTGCCTTGCAACATATAGTTCACGCTTTAACAAAACCCCATGTAGTAAACCCATGTTTCAAACTTTGTGCAATATTAAAAAAAAGTTGAACAAACTTGAGTAAAAATTTCGAGCTTTTTCTATTCTATTAAATAAAGTGCAAGTTTCAATCGATAAAAATTACCATTAACTTTTTAGAATTTTTTTGCACATAATTTTTGGAGACTTTCACTTTAATAGACTAGAATTCAAGGATCAATTTAAAAGCTCGAAATTTTTATGAAGGTTTGCTGATTTGTTTTTAACATTGCACGAAATTTTAAACTTTGATTTGCACGGGTTGTTAAAAACTATATTAAAAAAAAAAAAAAAAAAATTAAATAAAAAAGTTAATAGAGTTATTCAGAACATTGTGGAAATGGTGTTAGATTTGTTTTTGGAATTGCATTTGCAAATTACTTGCTACCATGGCAACCGTTTGCGCTTTATTGTTGTAAATTTACAAATATACAAATGCAAGATCATATGCACAGCATATTGAACAGCCCTATGTTAAAACTTTCAAAAAATGATGCGGCTATAATTTGTTCGACCACTGTATATTACCCTGAGATGTAGCCCAAAATCAATTACATACGTCAAAAAATATTAAATTGCAGAGGCTAATGCCACGCATATGGGTATTTCCATAACGTCGGACGTGACTTCGCATGACTTTAGAGTTATATATGTAAATCATACGAAAACAGGTCACTTGTAAAAAAAATTTGCCGTTGTGTTACTATTATACCGTCCTTTAGTTGACAAACAAATTAGGTGCGCTTGGAACACTGGTGTAGGGAAAATCGATTAAAAGTAGCTCATAACGGACGTTACAAAAACAGCAGTGGTTTTAGAGTAAATGGTAACATAAACAAAACTGTCAATCCTTTGAGGTTTTCCTTTCTTAAACATTCATCAAATTCATTTTCGGTCAGAAGAAATTCGTTGTTGGTTTAATTTTGAATTAAAATGTTATAACGGACGTGACCGATTTTCCCCCATACAATATTTTTACTACATAGTAACATCAAACTTAATTTTAATTTTTTCTTTTCAGTTCTCTTCATTTACTTGCCTTTTAGGTTTACCTTTTTTTGGAAACACCCATATGTATGTAGCTATATTGTTTTTTTATGAAATAATTACATATGTAGCTCCTGCATTGACTGCACGTAATTGATTGAACTTTAACCAACTACCTACCTTCTAGTCAGATGTATAGCATCATCAAGATATTGTAGATTGTAAAGTACACGTGCTAAATTCAGAAGTACTTCTGCATTTGTTGGCGACATTGCTAAAGCGCGTCTAAAGCACTCAATAGCTTGCCGTGCGTCGCCTATAATGCGCCAGTAATTACCGATTTGGTTATACAATTGTACGGATCTAGGCTTTTCACGCTTGGCTCGTTTAAGGCGTCGTTCCAGTGCAGTGATGTCAAAGTTTTTATAAGAGTTTTCATCCTTCGTTTTCAGAAAAATGTATGCAACCTGAATGTGCGTCATATTATAATAATTTACTTAATTTATCCATCCTAACCACGTGCAGTCAAACTTACCTCTGGTTCTGGTATTTTCGGATGATTAAATCGCTGTCCCACTCCAATTAGATAGTCGTAATAGGTGAAATTTACTGGCTTGCAATCGAGGGTTTCATCCACTACCAATGCAGTGCCTACATTTGTTACAATCGACGGCCCTACACTGTTCTCGATTGCAGCTTTGCTATTGCTTTCGTCTTCTGCATTTTTGCTCTCATGTGTCATAGTGCCGCTTTCGTTACAATGTTTAGCTACCGTCCCTAGAGATTCCAAAGAATTTTCTGGCGACTCTCGTACCCAGCCATAACCCGCACCCCTATTGTTGCTCCCATTTCCTATACCGTTGTCAGTGTCAGGACCCGTTATACCGGCTCCAGCGCTCGTACCTAGTGCCATAGTAGATGCGATGATATAAAATACTTCATCTTGAGCATAGACATCAGCGGAAGCATCAAACATTGGAATGCTGAATTCGTCCAACAATGTGTTATCCCCCTGGCCAAGATTAGAGGAAATATGCCCTGTTATTTTGCCGCTGTCTTCGTTTAATTTCCATAAAGTCGAAGTACGAGAATTCGTCAATTCAAATTGCCAACATAAAGCCACTATTGTCAAATAGACAACAATCCGCATCATGTCCTTTTTTATGATGCAGTTCCTTCACCAAAAAATAATCCTCACAAATGACAATGATACCAAGCTTCATAAACACAGTATATACAGTAGAGCTGGGATACTATCGATAGTTTTTGAAAAATATCGATGTCGGTTTAAGCAAAACTTCACAATGTGTCCTCCTTACATCTCTACACATACATTATTTTTTTATGCAATAAAATCAAAGCACATTCGACAAAAAAACATATTAAGGAATTTTTAGCAACTATACTGAGTTATAGTAAAATTTAATAAGCTATAAAACTGCTAACAACTTTTTTTTTAGAAATTCGAATTAAAAAGCTTGAGATTTTAATGATTTTGTGGCTTTTTATATTTTGTGCAACTTTTATAAATATTAGTAGACACTAAACAACTAGAAAATAGTCGAAACTGTGAAAAATTGTTTGGTGCTATTATTTTGACCAGTACTATATTAGTTTTCTTATAATATGGTAAAATGTTAATTTAGATAGATAGATTTTAGAAATGTACTATTATAGCCAATTTCATTTCTTTGCACTTAAAAAGGGACAAACAAAATCCGAATTAAATTTTTCCATATAAAAAAAAAAAATACAGATTTTGACTGTCGCTATTCAAGTGGATGCAAGTGTATGTATATAAGTATATATAATTCAAATACATAAATTAATAGTTGTGTTTGTTTACAAATTATCCACTAACTTGCCAGCAACTCTCCAGTAACTTTATTTCTAAGAATTCGCTCTCATACAAAAAATTTCCAAAAAAGTACTCGAACGCAAATCCAGTATTAATTTGCAAGCATATTCCTTATAAAACAATATATTTCATATTTACATGAATTTATTTTGTGAAATTCATCAATAAAAACCCACAAACAGTTTCCTTATTAGTTTATATTTCATCCAGCACCATGCGATTAGCTGTTTTTCGTACTGTCAAATTCTTACAAGTAAAATTTGATCCAGTAAAACCTTACAACTTCAACTGTCAAGTTTCGCTCTCTCAATTTCCCCTACTTTGCAAGTTTTTGCGTACGAAAACGCCAAATCATGACAATTCGTAAAAACTTTTACTGGATTTTACTGGAAATGAGTAAACAAACACAACTAATAACTTTATTTTATTATTATAATTTATTTTTGATACACTCAAATTTAAAAAAAGTATATATATAGTTTTTTTTTTTAAATTTACAAAGTAATTCATAAATTTTATAGATTTATTAATAATTTAATTTTCAAGCAAATGAGTCTCTCAATAGGGCGTCCGAACACTGGACTGCTCAGTCTGCGTAAAGCCGGTTTTGTGTGTATAAGAGGGGGAAGAGAGTTCGAGTTTATAGCTGAAATACAATGCCGGCGAACGGCGAACTCACCACTGCGAAATTCGCGCTGTCAAAATTAGAACATCCGCACGCATATGAAATTGAACACAGCAAAAGCGAAATGCGAAGTGTTCGCTTGGCGGCGTTTCATGGCGATAGATTTATTTCTATCGCCCTGC